CTAAAGAATTAATTATATTTTAAATTTATATTTGTGGTTAATATTTCATACATGAGTACAATTAAAATGTATGATTTATATATTTCTCTTTTATCACTATTAAAGACACTACATTACCTTTATGAGGCATGGCACAGATTTTTGAAGGTCGTCATTATACAGTGGCTGTAAGTTAAATACACATTGTATAATTTTTTCTATAACTTTGTTGTTTTCTCTGCCATATAGTTGACATAAATCAAATATAATTGGTATAGTAAATATATAATTGTCATATAATAGATTTCCTAGAAATGGACGGCTCATATATTCTGTAGTACTCATTTTGTTCGTGCAGAGACGTGCAAAGACAAGAAGTACATTGCGACGAAGACTTTCTAATGCCTCACGCATCTTTGGTTCAGCAGGAAAATTTTCCAAGACATAGAAAGGTGGAGCCTCTTGTAAAAAGGACACTAATGTATCCATAATTGAAGTGTTATATACAATATTGGACCAGAATCTAAATAAAGAAAAAATACTTATAATAATATGTATGTCATTAATAATATTGAAATTATTGAAAGTTCTATTATACCGATAGAATGGAAGATCCAATAGCCAGTTCAGATCTTCGATAATATAATTTACAATCTCCAACCAGCGATCTTTGGCACCTACAATTTCTGATCCATCATTGTTATATATTTCCGGTACTTCATAATGTAGAAAATAACGTTTGTCTGCCCACCTTGCATTCTAAAATTCATTATTTAATATTGATTAAGCAACATCTGGCTCATAGATATAGACAGAAATAGGACACAAATTTTGAGATATAAATTTCTATAGTATCATGTTTCAAAAATTAATGTACCAGTGCGTTTATCATAACCACTACTCCATCATTCTTGACGTTTAACTGCAGTTCTTCCAAAGGCACACAATCCGGATTCTATTTGACAGAAAAAGATAAAGATTCTTTTATTTTTTTTTATATATAAATTATATATTTCCTGCGATCGATTTATTTTGCGAATTATTTTGTCTCCAAATAAAAAAAAGAAATTTATAAGAAAGCATAAGAAAGTTAATTACCTCGTAGAATTTCATGGTTTTACGCAATGCATTGTCTGCTGTAAGGAACAATTTTGTTTTGTCGCGTATCAGTCGACGACGAACGGGAAAAAAAACAGGGTGGAAGCGATGAAATGAGAATGATAAGAGCACACGTAACGAATAGGTATAAAGAGGGGAACGAAATGTTTATTCCGGGGATCGTTGAATGTTCTGAAAAGTCACAATTAACGATATAAAAAGCCGGGCAGTCCCGACTTACAGTGATCTCCCAGGTACGCGTGATGCAAATGTTTCTTGGAAACTAGGATGTTTATCGATATTCGATATCATCAGTCGATATATGCAGATGTTCCCATAGCATATATAGAGCCTTTTTCATCAATCTTCGGTTAAGTTAACCGACGGTTAACTCGACTATCACGATTGCCAACAACTGAGAAGTAAACTATTTATTATAGATAAGTATTAAAATTTTTGTTTAAGTGAATTGTTTAATAATTTTTATTTACATTAATTATCGGATATTACTTACAATTTCATCTACCTACCAAAATACCTACAACAGGGAGTCAATCATGTAACTCGATTGACCCCCGTGAAATTTTTCACTTTTCATTTTTCACACCTTGACATTTCACATGAAACTTTTCACGTACAGCGATTATGTATGTAACTTGGATGCGTGGAAAGTGAAATCATGAAATATAGTTTTCATAGGTTTTATAGCTAATGAAAATTATTTTATTGGTACAGTATTATATACATCTTTTAATAACCAATTGTATATGTACTACGTATACTTAATCCTAACTCAGCCCTAATCTTCTCTATTTCCAAAGCATATTTATTAATTCCCTAGATTTCCGCCTTTCCGCCAAGGTACATGGCGAAAAAATTCACGTGAAAAATTTCACATTTTCACGTTTAAGAGAGTTATATGATCCCGCAAAATCGTACATGATCGTAAGTTCACGTGAAACTTTTCACTTTTCACATTTCCACCCTAGGGGAAAAGTTACATGATTGATCCCCACGAAAAGAATATTAGGTTAAAAAACACACACTACTTTCTGAGCATTGAATTACAGTTGGCACTCCTGCGGGTTAACCATTGGTTAACTTAACCGAAGATTGATGAAAGAGGCTCATAGACCGAGCCTTAATACGAGGATAACTGATATTTGCGGTAAGGGGGGCACGTCTGACTTCGATTATTTTCGTAAGTTCTTGAATATATTCGGCTTCTCACGTGACTGTCATATTGTAATTAGTGATTCTTAATCTAACTGTGATACATAAAATATTTTAAATTAATTAATAATGAAACATTCTGCTTTCGTTATTTTATATAAAATATTTTTCTGTTGTTTCTTAAGACGAAATAGTTTTTGTAACTTATTATATATATAT